GAAACTGAGCTGCTTTCGACCCTCTGCAGTTCCTTTGGGGTCTCCCCATTCAGGCTTCTCCAGGTAAACAGATGGTTGGGGCGAACATCCAACCTGACAGCAAGCCATGCCGCCCTCGGGCAGCCACCGGCACGCGGCCAGCGCGCACCCNATGCTCCAGCGCAGGGCAGGAAGCCTGCCTCCATTTGTAGACTCTCCCATTTGGATCTCAGCTTCCAAGCCAGCAGCACCAGGGGAAGAGAGAGCTAGAGGACTGCATGGGATGTTTTTCAGGGTCAGGCCTAAAACTGGCCTAGTCACTTCAGCCTACATCCATTGGTAAGCCTCATTCACATGGCCCCAACTCCAAAGGAGGCCGGGAAATGTGGTTTAGCTGTGTGCCCAAGCAGAGGAAACATTGGTGGAAAACACATAGCATTGTGTCTGCCAGGGGGTCAGAGGGGAAAGGGTGAAGACAAAGGAGCAGGGCACAGGGAGCAGCTATATGGCAGCAAATGAAAGTGTTCACACCAGCTTGTGCCGGCCCTGGCCTGGGAGATCCAGCAGACACATCCGTCTCTGTGTCCCACACTATTCATTGTACTTGGGGAAATGGAAAGACCACCATGTAAGTGCAAATCAGTGAGGGGTGGCATTCTGGAATCCATGCCTCTCAATGAGATATGATACACTTTTTTGCATAGATAAAATCCATGATAAATTGGAACTTGAGGAGACCGCGATGACAGAGTGACAGCTGTGTCACTGAAATTATATGTTTCTGGTAGGGCACCAGCTTGAATTACTTGACGGGCCCAGGCCTCCTCCTCTGGGCACCCTCTTACAAACCAGACTGGAGGAGAGAGGGAACTCCTGAATCTCTCACTCTTTTCCATAAATGGATTCATGGTCCACAGGAAAAAGAGCGGACTTTGATGAGAGAGGGACACACCTACCTTGCGACTCGCTGTGACTACTACTTTTGGAGTGGTTCAAAACCTCTCAGACCAAGATTCTAGCAAAGAAACAAAATCCCTTACGACACTTTCCTTTTAATTGCTGGGTGGTTTTCACAGTGCCATAGCTATACATGTCTCTGCACAGTACCGAGGGTCTCTACAACCATTGTCTGATTCTGTCCTTAGAACTGGCCGGGGAGACTGGAGATTTCTGACTTGGATCTTTGGACTTTCCATATGGGCCAGTGAGTCCCAGCTCTGGGTTGTGACACCCGCAGGTGTGCCTGGTTACCTAAGGTCGGGGAGCGGGGGTGATCACAAAGTCTGTAAATCAAAATATAATTTAATTCAGTTTAATCAGCATTTTTTTTTCCTTTTTGTCTTTTTTTTTACTGACCGGTAACGGGATCGCAACCCTCGGT